GTCCACTTGGCGCTCAATCGCGAGTATTGTTTGTTTTTGTTTAGCAATTAAGCAATAAGGTAAACAACAAGGAAATGATTCTAAAAGCGTCGCGAGTGCCAAGTGGAAGTGTTGGCAGCCTATAATTCTGCTAACATTTATTCACATACATTTAAATAAGGTTATTGACGTTACACTTTTTTACATTTAGAATTATCATTTTTATTATCATTCTTATCATTCTTTGCTTTTTCTCTCTTCAACACCTTATGTATTTATCTCGTTATGCAAACATTTTTGGAGATTTCAAGCAACGCGAGCAAATCTGTTGTTAAAATAGAACGCATTCCATAAGCATAATTCATTGAATTAATTTATAATTAGTTGAATTTCGCCGAATCTGTAAAGTATAATAAAAATTCTGATTTCGAAAGTTTATCCTATATAGAATTACATCTGCCAGTGACTTGTATCAGCATTACTCATCACTTATCAGTTTAGCTTATCCACAGATTGTTTTTTGTTTTGATAAAAACTTGGCAACCGTGTAACGTTTAGTGTTCAGTAGGCGTGTCTTCTTTATTCAACTTGTCTTCTTATCAGCTTATCAACGAACAGGAATGTTCTCAAAACGGTATTTCTCAGTGAATTTTTCAAAATTAAGGCCAGAGCACAGACTTTTGCATAACGCATAAAATATTGTATAACGGGCTTTCAACAATAAGGCATTACCTAAACTTTAAGTCTTGAACCACAAGAAATTGATCTATCATAGTCGGATGTGAGAAGAATAATCGGCTACGATTATTCTTACAATTAGTCAATTTCTTAGAGCTTAAGACTCAAAGCTCTAAGTTAAATGGCTTACTGTAGAAAGCTTATTATAGAAATAAGAGAATTGATCGATCAGTCTTTTTTTTCTATGAAGGACTGACTGGTTAATTCTCTTATACTTTATACATCATACGTTATATTATACAAAGGTGCTCCGGCCTTTGAAATTATGAATATTTACATGAACTCAAGGATGTACAAAGTGCTCATTTCGCGAATTGTAGGAATAGCTATTTTGCGAAATATTTTCCGCGTAATAAACGGCGACCATCTATTTGTTACGCGTCACTTTGATGACTCGTTTCTATTGACGTAAATGCGATTACGCGATATCACTGTATGCGAACATCCGGATCTGGAAATAATGAATTGACGGAATAATCCACTGGTAGCAGTTGTTTCAACATTTTTCTGACCATTAATTAGAAACAGTGTCTGTAAAAAAAAAATGATGAAACGAGAAACAATGTTGGATCATACATTGGGAAACGAAATAGATTTTAATACAAAGGAACATTAATTTTTTCGATCATACTAATATGTACTTTTATTCAAATTTTATTAAAATAATAAAAAAATAACGTACAAATTTTTAATTAGAAAGTTTTAATTTTTTAATTTCTTATAAATTTGTAGAAATAATTTTATTCCTTTCGTTCTTTGCCGTGAGAGAGAATTTATGATCTTGGCTATTTCTTTATTTATTGCTCCATTTAACGTCGACGTTCTCTTTGTCCGGCAGAAAATTGAAGAATCGAGTGGCCGCACAAACTTCGCGAGATCGCAAAAAAGCTAGATTAGACGAGCTTGAGGAAACAGTGAGGACACAGAAGGAAAGGAATGAGCTGGTTACACAGGAATGTACGATGCTGAGGTCACAGAATGAATTACTGACGTCGCAGAACGAATGGCTGTTGAACGAAAATAAGAGGCTTAGAAACGAGAGAGACGCAGTGAGGAACACGCTCACAGATCAGCAACAACCGATCTGCTCCGCCTGTCGGGCCCGTGTCGACGGTGCTGTACCTTCGCTGGGATCTGCAGTATCCCCCAATGACCCTCTGCCGCAGGGTGGGACAGCACAGTCGGCATTGCGCCCGACGCGGACGCCAGGAGCAACCGCACTGCTGAAATTTCTGACTCTATACTTCCTTTTGAAGAATTGTTCAGCGTATTCCAAAGTGCCGACGCCGAACGATTCGAAGAGCTGGCGGAGAGCCTCTTACGAGAAGTCAGTCCAGAAGTTGAAGCAAATCCTCATAGATCAAATGAACAAGTGAGTCTCGGGAGTTGCAATCGATATACATAGAATTGCACCTTTTGCATTGCATTTTCGTCTCGCATCTTTCTTGTTGTATTTTTCACTAAGAGCAAATCGCGAAAAAAATAGCTATTGTTGCACTTCTAATTATATGAGCGCTAGTATAATTTTTTTTTTAAATGTACACATTAAGTTTTTTAACACTATAATTAAGTCTTTTTTTCTTGATTTACATTTCTTTTTTTTTAAATCGCACGCTTAGTGTAGTAACTTAGATGTAAGATGCCGAGATGGATGAAATATTCCGAAGTAGAATGGAATTCTAATCCCACAGTGGGAATACAAGTTTTCTCCGGAGAAAATCCGAACGTTTCATTCATTTCCTCTACAATCGCGCGTCCTTATGATTTAGTCGTTCTCTCTTAATGACCTGTCGATCGTTCTTCATTCCACAGGTGTCCGTCAACGAAGCTCCCGTTGAAAAACCTGACCATCCAGAGGCATTGGTGGGGCAGACATCAAAAAATGTGGAAGCCAGTAGAACTGGTGGAAGCGTAGACAGCATATCCTCTTGTCTACAAGATACGTCCAATTGGTTTCTCGAGGACTGCGACACAACGAAGACCACGTCGATCAAGACTGAGACCGAAATCAAACAGGAGTCTGAGACGGCATCGGATCTCGATACTGTCTATGGTACATATGACGAGACCACTAATTCCATCACGATTGTGTATCCAGGCGAGGAGAATGATGGCTGCATGGGTATCCAAGAATGCGTGCAAGAGGTGGTCAGCAGTAACGAGAGCGGTACCGTCAGCCATGCCACAGACGACGCCGTGCATCTCACTGTTTCTTCATCGGGCATTCAATTGCGCTATCCGGCGCAATTCTCACCGGCATACACCAATTCCATGTCACCTGCTATGAGCGACGTGGACAACTACGGTATTTCCTCGACGAAACAATTGGATTGCGCCAGTTTATCGGACGGTGGATACGAATCTCACGATTCCCCGCAATCACACATGTCGGAATTGTTTGATCTCGAAAGTTTCAGCGAGCTGTTTCCCACGTTGGGCTGACAATTCCGGATAAGGCGTGCTGCTGAGGCGAGCGCCAGATCAATGTCGAACCGTTACATATGTGACACGGGAAATTTCAGTGAGAATAGGCTACAAAAGAAAAATGAAAAAGAGATTCGGAAAATATCATTATAATATGCCGAAATCGTTCATTTAACATTAGATAGAAACTTGCAAACTTTGACTAGACTCTCGCACATTTTTTATCAGTATCGAGCAGTTTAACTTCAACGTTTTGAACGAAAAATATAACTCTTGGAAAATTGATTCCATGTAAGTTATGTAAATATGTAATAAAGATATGTCCTAAGTTCGTACTCAGTATATACGTTAATTATACTTGTATACTCAAATGATTATAAAAAGACATAATATAACTAATTAAAGAAGCTTTTCTATAAGTTATTTTAATTAGTAGAGAGCTTCTATGGAGGAATAAATTTGTTTCGTCTATTCTTTGTTTTTGTTACGAATTTTGGATAGTAGCTTTATCTAGCACAATTAGTAACACAACATATTGTGTCACATATTGTCTAACTATTAATTGACATATTAATAGTGTACCAAACTTTTTTACAGTAAAATTAAAACTAGTGACATTATATATATATATATATATATATATATAGCTATAAGAATATATTTTTATATATATTTAAAATCATAAATTTTTTTTAATTTATTCGATGTCGTAAGAGGATGTATTTAAATAGTTTCCTATAGATATGAACGGTGAATTTTTTTACACACCTACACACGCCTATTTAAGAAATTTATTATTAATGTATACATGTTTAGACATATATATATATTGATTTTTTGTTTTTCGCTGTGTAACAAATAAATCTCAAACTAATGACATATTTTTCATTTTCCAACTCTGCGCTAAATTGCGTCGTTTGTACATGACGCGAATTCGTTTCTATTTATCTTTCGTAATTTTCTCGACTGTTTAATATACAATTCGATATAGTAGGCATATGTATGTAGCGCTGTTTGCGCGGTTAAACTGATTATTATATTAATGCTATTTAAATACTTTATAAATATACGAAATATTTTTAACGCGTATGGGAAGAGCTTTCATCAGGGAGATATTTGGTGGCAAAGATACGGTTGTACAAATATTACTAGATATTATCGACAAATTATTAATAACGATAAACTACTATATATAGCACCCTTTTCGTTAATCCTTAAACGGCATGACAAACTCAAACTAAACAGTTTGAGATACGCGTGTGATTTATCACACAAAATTAGATGAAATTTAAAAAACATTGCACAAAAATCAGAATATTTTATCGCATCTATTAATTTTTGAATAAATCAAAAAATTTTCTTTAGTAGAAATTTAATAAAGAGAGATTTGTTGCAACTTTTTAACATTAAATGTTACAACTTTTTAGCATTAAATATTTTGACAGTTTATATTCGTTTTTTATTTTCTCGGTATTAATCGAGATTGGAATTGTACTCAGACTCATTCAGCTATAATAACTATATCTCTCTTCTAATCTCATTTAATTTCCCTGAAAAAATTGTATAAAATATGATCTCAATTTCATGAATATGGCGATCAAGATGAGATAATAAATCCTTTAATCTCTTAATCCAAATTCTATTCATGATATTCTTTTGCATGCACCATTCGTTAGTCAATATTTATTTAAAAAAATGGAAATTTTTTTCTATAAGGCTACTTTAGGCAATGTGAGTTCTCGCACTTTTATATAGACAATCAAAGCAAGTAAGTGTTTATATTGTATACGTATTTCGTCAAGAGAATAAAACGTTGCCGAGAGAAACAGCCTCTCGTTTCGTTACGTTACAAAAAAAATTTCGAAAAAGATTATCCGAAAAGTTTCTCAAAGCAGCCATGGCAGTAAGGTTTGTCGTTTTGCTCCTTGAATGTACCCTTGTTTAATTGTTTCAAGCAAAATGCACATACGAAGTGCTCGGGATGGAATTTGCGAAACATCGCCGTTATGCAACGACCTGCAAAAAAGCAAGATACAAAATGATATCAGTATCACAGTATTCAAAATCTTACATTTAAAAAAATTAGCGTACTCACCAGTAATGGGCTTGTGGCATCCTGCACATAGGGATCCTCTCTTGGCATGATAGTGTGTCTCGCAATATGGCAATCCCTCATGATCGAAGAAAGATCCGCCCTGAAACTTCTGTCTGCAATCCTGCAAAATAAAAAATAGGCAGGTTTGAGAATATTATATAAAAAAATTTAATATATGAGAAAAAATGTCACGCTAAAAAATTCTGTAAACTTTAAAAAATATATTATTATTTCAGTTAAAAGATTAATACTATCTTGTTTTATGAAAAAAAATATGAAAACTTTATGTGAGTATACTGAATGTTTCAATAAAATGTATCATTAATATCATGACATGAGAAAATGAATAATGATAGTTTCCAAGAAAAAAATGTTTGTGAATATTTAAAATTACAAGAAATTAATAGTAACTTGGAAACATTCTATATACATTATATTCCACTACTATTCCTTGTCTTGAGTAAAACGAAATTCATATGAAATTAAACAACATTAAATAAAAATTGATTAGAAATCGACATGCGATTTATATTTTGTATTTATCAGTAAACTGTGATTAAAAAAATATATAATAATACCAAAAGAATTGGATTTTGAATTAATGTATGTATATTTTCTTGACTCTCGCTTAAGGGGATGCTAAAATGACCAAATTATCATAGTCGTATAAAAATCTTCGATTTAACTGAACGGAATAAAAAATCCTTTTACAGGAGTAAAGTAAACGCAAAATTAGGATGTGGTGCAGTGGATTTTATATTAAAATCGAAAAAAAGTTAAAAAATTTTATAATATTCTTTCAATTTTAATATAAAATCCACTGCACCGTCTTCTAATTTTGCGTCTACTTTATAATCCTATAAAGATTTTTTATTCCGTTCAGTCAAATCGAAGATTTTTATACGACTGTGATGTGATAATTTGGTCTATATATATATATATATCCATATAATATATTTAGCCATTTAGAAAATTAAAAAAAAATATTTTGATTGAGAGAAATTAATCGTTCTACTTTTCTCGAGAATTTTTCATATCAATTTGATTCACCGACTGTTACTATATAACCTAAGGAATGAAAACATCCATCTGTAACAATGGCATCGCTGTTCACAGCGTTCAGCTGCTGGTTCTTCCCCCCGTCTTTTGCCAAGACGCGCATCTCCGAGTCGCTGGGTGTGTATGTGAGCCAGTCGACTCTCGGTGTCACGTGTTTTTGTTTTGGGGGTTGTTTTCTTTTTTTTGGGAGGAGATGGGATGAGGGAGGGAAGGTTTATTTCTTTACTTTTCATAAATAGCACTAATAGTATTCGCGCGACTCTACAAAATTCCTCTCTATTGTCAAGAGCTCGGCACAATGTCAAGGCGCGAGCTTGAAAACAAAAGCAGCTAGCTCGTACTTGTGCTTGCCGAGAGTATGCCCTGCGATGTAAGTGTGTTGTGTCCGAGTGTGGAAAGTGTGTTTTTCTTTTGCGATGCGGAATTAAAGCGACGGTGACTCGTAATCGGCGTTTCTCCACACTCGGTCTTCCTCAGCGCCAAGCTAAATCACCTGTCGGAGAATCAGGGGAGTGGCTCCGCATACATAGAGCCGGAGGGCATACAAGGGGCAACATATCATGCGGGGGTAACTGGGCGATAGTGAGAAAGAAGTTCGGCGTGAGGAATTGATACAACGATGTGAAGCGGCGGGATCGAGCGGCGTCCTTACGCCTCTTGCTCTTCCTCTTCCTCGTCGTCGTCTACCCCGACGCACTTGGGACACACCGGCTGTCCCTCCATCGCATAGAAGGACTTTCCGGAGACCGGGTTCTTGCAATCCTGTAATTGTCAGAATTTAATGTGTCTGATCTACGTTTTCTGCGACGGTTTCTCCGCGATTTTTCGGGATTTTTAAGATGAAGGAAATCTTCGTTTCCTTCGTTTCCCTCACGCATAAAGGAAACGAAGATGTTGATGATCTCGTAAGGTTTGCGCTGAAAATGAAATTTGATAATGAGACAGACAAATCTCACGAGTATGATACCTACCCTGCAGACAAAGCAGTCCGGATGCCACTGACTATTAAGCGCAGATATATAATTTTCCATGATAGCGCGGTTGCAACCACCGCACTTGGGTGCAAACATGTCGAAGTAGTCCTCGCGGCAGTAAGGCTTGCCGTCCCGCTCGTGGAAGCCCTCCTCGCCGAACTGCTTGCCGCACTGAGCGCAAAAGAAGTGCTCGGTGTGCCAGGTCTTCTCCAGGGCGGTCACACATTTCTGGAAGAAAAACATTTCTTTCAAATTCATCAGCGCGACTTTGCGTGATGAAACATTTAGAGGCATCCAGGAAAAGAGAATAGATTGATATTTTTAGCGATGATTAATCTTTTTCTGTATCATAACTAGCATTATGATCCAGAGAAAGAATTCTATAAATTAAAATTTAAAGTTTATCATGTCGTTCAGACATTCCATGAATGTCAAGGGAAAAGTTCAAGGGAAAACTGAAGATTTACGTCTTTTATTGTTCTACTGCTACTCTTTCCCTCAAAAGCCCCGAGATTCCGCAATCCTTACATCAAGAATGGGCCCGTTGCAGTAAGCGCAACGAGGAGAGAACAAGTTATGATAGTCCGTTTCGCAATAAGGGTGACCCTCCCTCTCGAAGAAGTTCCGTGTGCCCAACTCCTGATTGCAATGAGTACATGTGAAGTGTTCTGGATGCCACGTCTTGCCCAAGGCCGTTATCACCTGCGCAGCAAGAACATTGTTAAATCAAAGAGGATATCCAATCGCCGAATATCGCATCAGTTCTCAAGAATTATGATGCGGCTGACAGCTACCTGGCCCACGATAGGCTTCTCGCAGGCGCTGCAGCATCCCTTCTGGGTTGTGTTGACACCTTGGCGGCTCATGTCGGCCTGAAGATTGCCGAGCATAGAATCCAACTGATTCTGCTTCAGAGGTTGGCTCTCTCCTGGATGGTAGAGATGGGTCGTGTGAGTCTCAGTGATGTGAACGCGGGTCTGCGTGCCCTCGTTGGGCAAAGGGCTCTGTGAGCTCTTGGTAGCCTTGTTTGGCTTCGCGTACGGAGAGTCGGTCACCGTTTGGTGCTGATGAGTACCGCTATTGATCTGCAAAGATACGTGGATCGTAGGATCGAACGCGTAAAATCCAAGTGACAACTCTTTATCCGAGAAATTTAGATTAAATCCGAAGTGCGGACGCTTTGATCTGGATCTTGAGGTTGAGAAATTCAGGCAATAAAAAATTTAAAAAAGATGTTATTTTAAAGTATGAAAAAAATGTCCTCAACCTGGAGATCGATAATCTTAATTTCTCGAAAAGTTGAGATGAGTTGCACTTGTCGCACTAAATCCTCGAAAAAGAAAGATGTATAATTCCTCGCGTAATTCTACGAGTATCTGTATCAATCGTGCACGTGTCTGTATGTGTACGTATGATCAGGTGTCGAGTGAGAGGTGTCGAGATGCGAAGGTTGTTCAAGGTTGAGTATCGCTGATTTGACGGGCAAGGTGAGAGAAAAGGATCGGGATGTCAAGGGTGGAAAGTCCGTGAGGTGTCGAGTGAAGAAAAATGAAGACCCACGGGCGAGACGGTAAGGTAATGTAGGAGATGTCGATCACCACGGGCGAGCTTGCAGACTGGTCGAAAGCTCCGGGTGTTCCGGTGGGTCACACCGACGCGCGGGTGCCCCACCTCTCCGTGGCTTCGTCTTCTTGGTCCCCCTTCTTTCGCAGCCGCGGGAAATGAAGGAGATCGTCGGGGAGGAATATCTAGTGCAGCTCCGGTAGGTAGTCCTCGGCTCCACGGTGGTGGCGAGGTAGTTATTTTCGTAACGTGGGGAGCCAAGAATGGGCAGGAGTGGATCTAACGTCCCGTTTTCCGATTCCGCGGTAAATCAAAGCGGCGAACGATCAGGGACAGTCCGACAGCAGCCTGTACCTGTTTCGTCAACAGCTACATGTGGATCCGTGCATGGAGAACTTACACGGGAAAGATAATGGTATCACTAAGCTTAATGATACATCATGGAACAATAGACGGATCTTCTAAATGCTTGAATGTTACCTTTAAAATGTTACCTGGTTATGTACAATGCAAACGAGAAGCAACATCTCTTTCGGCACGAGATTAAACATAAAAATGTCCATTCGGCTTCCAGCCAGCAACAAAACTTCGGCAAGCAAGTCTTGTCCGTTTATTTAGTTTATTTGGCGATCTCATGCTCATTGGCAACATTGAAGGTTGAAAGCCGATGTGGATACCGAAAGAGCTATTTAACCCTTTAGGAACGGCATTCTCTTCAATTTATAATGTTTTTATATGATAATTTCTTACTAACTTTTCGATATTATTAATACACTTGCTGTATTTTAATCATTTATTGACTCTTTCTTTTAGTTAATTAAAATTATAGATACATTTAAATCTCTTTAGGAAATGAAATATTAAGATATCAGCCGCTTCGCAAGGGTCAATCGCATTATGTATCGCAATTACGTGATTACGTTATTATGGATGAATGAGTACCTTAAATTCGGAAAGCGAAGCCATTAGGTCGTCTAGCTCCTTGGTAGCGTTACTCGCGGTATGACCGTTAGGGTAACTCCTGTGAACCTCGGTTCGATTCAACGAGCCATGCTGACTGGAGGGATAGCCGTCGTAGACCGGCTGTATCTCCGTGGATGTTTCTTGTATGGTGACTCTCACCTTTCCGTCGGCGGGATAGTCTCTGCTCGAAGGGAGGGAGAGACAATAGTCCGTTTTACCGAACGCGAATTATATCAGGGATCGAAATCCCTGGTTCACCGGTGAGTTCGATCTTCTACGATCGCACGAATATAATCGGGCAATAACCGTCGAAGTCCGAACTCATCGAAACTGTATAATTAATTCAATCTCGAAATTATTAATTGCAAGAGCTAAATGTTTGAAAGCAGTCAGTTCTTCTTACATTGTTTTAGGATTAATTTGCGCGCACACACAGAAAGCTCACCCGTTAGGCACTGCGGTGCTTAGTTCCTCAAGCAACGAGTCGACGGTGGGTCGAGAGGCTGACATGCTACTTGGAGAACGGAGCATGGGGCTGGTCGCACCCCCGTTCACTCCTGTCGCAGACGCGCGGCTGTCTATAATCATCGAACTCTGTGCGATAAACCGCTCCTGTGAACCGTCTCTGACCTTTCCCGAAGGATTTGCCAATATATGAAGAAAATGAAAGAACGTTATCGGAATTATCGCGTTCTGTTGATTTGTCGCAAATAAAACTAATTTCTATTCGGTAAACGTTTCATCTATTGCTTTCTTAGCAATCAACATTTAATTTTCTCAAATATAATAAAATCGCAAACTGAAACTTTGTTTAAATTATATCAAATAAAGATTGATTAAAGAACAAGATACTGTTAGTCCTATTTGAGTCTGTAAGATCCAAGTTATAAAAAAGCTTCTATATTTCATACCGCTTGTGATTTTTTAAAGAGATTCAGAGAGTTATAAATTGGAGTTACAAAGAAATGTATGTTGAAAAAATTGACAGACCGTTCGGGAAAGAATTAAGAGTCTAAATAATCAACCTCTTTCTTGATAATGGGCATTATAGCGCGCGTTGCTCAAGTCTTGCAGGAGGGTGTCCAGCTCGGAAAGATTGTTATTGAGGGAAGGCATCTTGCTTCCGGTGCTGGCCTGGGTGTAAGACGTATTTCCGGTTTTACCCATGGTTTCCTCTATCGCCTCGCGATTCTGATAAGTCGGCTACAACATTCGGGAAAGATCGCGATGAATCGAACGGTTCGAAGTTCCTTCATATCATATATGTATCCGTCAAAGACACCAATTATCTTATATGACAATAGTTTTACGTAAAAAAAAAATTGTCTTGTAAGAATTAATGCAATAACTCATTGATATTTTTTTATAAGAAGTTTACCGTGTCTTGAAATATTTTTTCTTATTAATTTATTCTTTATGATATAGACGTGCGGCTTCAAGTGTAAAATTTAGTCCCATTGTATTAGTTGATAATTTTGTTGTTAATTCCATGCTTGTGATGAAATTCCAGCTTAACGTTTTTAAAAATATTTTCCAATAACAGAATAACATATAGAGAGTAATTCTATCCTAGTAATTTAAATTAAGCTTTTAATTTTCACTGAAATATATATATATATATATATGGAAAGCGGTTAGAAAAATTAATGCAACTTCTTCAGATGAATGGACAGTACGAAGACGACTTGAACTGAACGATAGCTGTGTGACATTTTGCGTTCATCCAGGTCTTGGCTTGTTAATCGACAAAAAGCAATGGCCTGCCAAGTTTCCGCAAAGTGCAGTTATTATTTAGAACTATGATGTCACAAGAATCATATTATGCAGCCCGTGTGGAACGTTGTCGTTTAGGACGATGTGTGCGTTTTTAGTCCCGACAAAGTCAATTTTAGATCGCTTTTAGCCGCAAGAGAAAATATCCTAAAAATATGGATTGCCATCACGCATTCCTTCTAGTTAAAAAGATAAAATATAAATGTTCAATAATATTGAATAAAATTTGATTGAATAAGATTACTAAATAAGATTAGGAAACGTAATAAAATTTTTGGCGCGTCATATAATTTAATCAATACAAATATAATTTACAATGATTGTACAAAATAGATTCATATTTACAAAATAATATGAATTATAGTTTTATAATATAGTTTTTTTTAACAATAATAGTTTTTTAAAAACTATTAGATAAAAACTATTAGATAACTGAACGTGTTATTCTATGTCCGTCCATCTATTCTAAGTTAAAGATATCATTTTAATAAGTAAATCAAAGATGTTCCAATTTCTAATTACAAAATTGGCGACTCGCGAGAAGTTGCTCAGACTTGTTTACCAAAATTAAATTTGATGCTTGACGTCAGGCTAATCGATGGCCAAATGCGAACTGCAACCATCCGTAACGATAAATTGGAGCTCTTACGAGGCTTTGAAGGGGATCCGTAAATGATGCGTAACAAAACTATTACAATTGGGGTCGATCACTAATAATCCCCCCCCTGCATAAAAATAAATTACTACTGTAATTTACGGAGGTTATGGTCCTCGCTATTTAAATCGTAGGACATTAATAATATCACTGTCAATGTAATGAAAAGTCTATCTATAATAATTTATACCTAATATATAAAATATACAAAATCTCTTTAACTTTCTTTCTTGCGTTTAACGCAATTGTTGTATATATTTATAATTCAATATACTTTTCGCAACTATTGTAAAACCATATCATTATATTGAAACAAATAATTTTCAAGATTTTCATGATATTGATATTTTATGATATTAAATAAATTACGATCTTTCAAATAATTTCCAGAAATAATAGACAAATTGTGTGCAGTCGAATTTCTGAAAAGCAAATAAAGACAAGATTTATCGAACTCTCGCATGACTATTTTTTTTGCAATAAAGCAACATTATAGCGCATCCTGCTGGACGGAAACTAGGTTACGCGATGAGTTGTCGATCTAAAAATATATCTGCGGTAAGCCAGTAGAAACATGTCAGCAAGACATATCGGCGCTTATAGTGGGAAATTTTGGTGGCGACATCATTATTAACGCGAGGCAGCATCTGTAGAGTCTCTCGTACAATCTTTGCACTATCACACGATGCGTTGCAACTGTCAAATTATCGCATGATAGAAGATTCTTTAATAAATTAGGGTTTTTCTCGTAAGAATTAAAAAAATTATCGTACATTCGTACTTCCATAAATTTTGAACGATTTCAACTAACAATGGATATCTACACTGAGAAAAATTTCTGGTTAAAAATTAACGAACCAGAAGATCCTGATCATATCAATCTGATTATTTCAACCAGAAAATTCTAATTCATCCATTTTCAACTAAAATTCAATTACTGCAACCACTCTTTTTGTAATAACTGTATATAACTAATCAAGAATGATCAGTCTAAGAATTATATTATAAGCCAATTTATTATAAGTCTATTATTTTCAATAAAAAATCTGATCTTAAAATTTTTCGTTGATTCCTCCCGGGAGTAAAACGGCATTTGAAAGGCACTTTGTACACTTCATCCATCTGAGATAGCATCACGCGTCCAGCATGTATGCGGTCACGTGTTCGCGTTGTTACTGCATTCAGTATTTATGCAACGGGCTGTGTGCAGGGCTGCGGCAGATGCAGCCGTAACGCGAATCGCATTCTGGAATGCTAGCGCGGGCTAAATTCGCGCTTCAAAGGGAAAACTTAAACAGCTCGTGACCTTCGGCATGACGGCAGGATTTAGCACCCGGCACGATAATTCAGGAAAATGGTTATTGCCATCGTCAACGTGTCTCGTAATCCGAGCCGTTGTTTAGCGTTATGTCGTGCAATTGAGTGTTGGACAATATCGCGAAGGACAATGTTGAAAGCCTAGAAGAGGTATTTCAAATTGATAAGAAATTTATCATCGACGAGAATATTTTTATTTTATTAGATTATCTGCGACAGACTTATTAATTAAAAAAATTTACGGTACTATAAATCAATTTAATTTAGTTAATTAATTATTAACTGTATTAAAAATGAAAAATTAGCAACAGATGCAAATATAACTTGTTGTTATTTATAATTAATAATTAATAGCTAATTTTTTGCAGTATAATTTTTAAATAAAAAATTGTGACATATCCGCATCAAAATACTTTACGAAAACAAGTTCGCTGACAATGTCACCTAGTTGGCTATCGCAAAAATAGGTCTCGGACTGTATCGAAACTGGATCACATCCTCGTATGACGACTGCAGTGCAAACTTGATGACAGATCGATGCTATAACGACATGTTTCAAGAAGACAAATATCTAAAATACGATTTATGTGAGGGCGATTTATTACACGCAGAGAATGCAGCTGTCGGAAATTTCTTAGCTGTCCTAATTCATTAGTCGTGAAACAATCGATTAAACACGCGAATTTCTCTCCTTTTCAAGTTTAAACAGGCTTCATGTTGTGAACGCGAAAACATGGAAAAATTATTAATTCAAAAGTATACATTATTTGTTATAATAATATATAATGCTATACTATAAAATAATTGTTATAAAATAATGTTATAAAAATGTATTACGTAAAAAACACATTATTTAAATATAAATTAAAAATAGAATTGAATGATAAATATGAACACAAAATTAATATTTATACAAATGTATAATTCTTATAATAATTATATTAATTTAAAAATGTCACAGTCAGTGTTGCAATCTAATTAATCTAAGTTATTATATTTAAATAATCCGAATAAAAAGTATTACGACTGCAGTACAACTACTTGGACTTTCAGAAGTCATTGACCTAACGTAGGACGTTCTCTTTCATTGTTTCTGTATAAACAATACTAATCGAAGTAGAATAAGTGAATGACTAGCCAAGAAGTAATAAATAAGTTTATCATTTTTTTCCATCATTCTGATCTTGCTTAAATCATTTACTATTTTCTCAAATAAATACTTGGCAGAACCAAACATTGAATGTATCCAGTTTCTCCTGACTATTAAAGAGAAATTATTTTTTTTAAATTATACTCTTTCCGATAAAAAATGACAAGACAGTAATAAACTTTTTTTTCGAATTAAAAATAAAATATCCCGTAAGAAAAGTTAAAAGCAGAACTGCGAATATTTCCACTAATCGTACGGCTTCCACTGCAAAATGCATCGAAATCGATTCTGTGCTTGTCTGTATCTCAATTCTACTTTCAATATATACAAGTTCTCGCTGTACGGAAAATGTCGAGGTGTGCAAAAGTCAGCATAAAGATACATAATATTTGCGCACTCCTGAATGCATAAATACATAATTCGCGACTTGACGTCACGAGCTGTCGGACTAAAGATGGACAGAGGTGGTTTTATCTTTTTTTTTATTGTATTGCAATAAAGCGCGATTCAACAAGGACTGGCGCGGTCAGCAAATATACGATGTGTATATAGCCGGCTTAGTCGTGTTCGACCGCAAATTTTACAACCGGAGCGCGACATGAGTCGAGAATCATGAATAATAGAGGCCGCACTGCCCTAGGCCGAGCGAGAATCGATAAAATCGGCAGGGAACGTAACAGGTGGGGATCTCTTTGTCGCGGAAAACTCGCGGAAGTGCATCAATACGACTGGTCTTCTATGTACAGAATAATATTGTACGTAATATTGTTGTACAACACTTTTATTTGTGTATCATATTATTCCTCGACCTCGAATATTAAAAATAATATTTAATGACATTGCTAATATTTTTCTTAATATCGCAATTTAAAATCATAAAAAAAAAACAAAAAAAATATCTCGGTCTAGTATAATTTATTTACTTCTTCATATTAAAAATTTCTTTAAAATTGCTTGAAATTTCTCGTGTGACGTATTAATGATCCAAATTCAAATTTTCTTTATTCACGATTCCATCCGCGACGAATACTTAATTAAATTAAACTCAGTTTGTGTACGTAATCTTCGTATCTTCAGTCTCGCTTAAATTCTTCCCAGTTAAAATAAAGATTAACGAGAGTAACTCGAGAATCTCTCTCCGGGCTGATACGCGATTCCGTTTGCGCACGTTTCAACATTGTTGCCTGTAGTGATGCTTCAGACAGTCAATTTTAGACACGATATTGATTCTAATTTTAGCCCCGTTGCATCACAGTTATTTCCGACCGTGTTTTATGACTCTACAAGTTTCTCTTTTTTTCCCTTTTCAAAACAACTGATGGTTAACGCGAGAGATATCAGAATTTTGTCACGAGCAAAATCCGCCGAGAGTTCGGTCCCTTCAACTTCTTAAGCGGTCTATTTTCATGATCATAATACGGATGATTCCATGTCTAAACAAATTTAAGTGGTCACGCTCTGAAAATATTTCAGAACGTCCGCCGATCAAATTGTTACGCAAGATCGCAATATTATCTGCCCGTAAAATAACAAAATCGTTGTGTATGCAGAGGATAAATAAACAAATTAAAAATTTATACATTAATATTAAATACTTTATGCACTTTGCATAACAGAGTTCACGTTGGAAAGGTGAGATAGGCTCTAAAAAGATTTAAGCATTTTCATTTAGAAGCATCCATATTTGAGAGTAAATCTCGACGAGAGATTCTAACTGGATCTCGCTTAATCGTGAATGTCCGTATATTAATGATGTTTGTGGCCCTGAAAGCTAGCGAGCGTTCGACATTGACAAGAACACGCTGTATCTCGCCGAGACATCGTATCGACAGTTATTAACCGTTGGCGAAGAAGTTTATTTATACGGATTCCCTCCGTGTCACGCTTTCGCGATCATGACGACGGATTGCTCTATTTCGAGACGTTTTGTAGACTGGAATCGCAAAACGGCATTAGTGCCAAAGAGTTAATTTTGTATAGCATCTGAAGAGTGTCCCGCACAGAAAAAAAAAAAATTAAATATTCGTTTGAATAATTCCAAGCAAAAATTTAATAAATGTAAACATATATTTATTTGATAAAAAAACAATTAATTTGACTATCATTTTTTATTTAGTAAATATTTATTTACTGTAAGTAAATGTTTGTTTAATACTGTTCAAAGACATACTATATGTGTTAAGATTAAATAAATTTTTTCAATGCGCGTATATACTAAAATTTACATTACATTGAAATTAAATTATATTGAATTTACGAGTCCAGCGTCGAGAGAATAAAGACATGATAACAAAAGAACAACGAATGTATTTGATATTTTAACATTTCAACAAAGAAAAATGACAGAAGAGATAGGATTTACATTGGTATAGTAAATAAGGGATTTCTATAGCCACAGTTCCGTTGAAAATAGTCGAGTTTTCTTTATCTTTTACGATCGCACGTGTATTGAAATATGTCAAACGCGTTTGGCACCAAAGTCACTTTGCGTTGGCAGTATATTATATCAGGGTTGCCACAAATTTTTCGTCCCAAAATTCCTTGACATGTCCCTGATTTCCGAACAAAATTTTCTGAATTTCCCTGACTTTCAATAATACATATTTTGAAATTCTTTTTGTATTTTCATCCTGATTTTCAAATCCTGATTTATTATTTGAAAATCGTTAAATGTTTTGTTGATAGAGCAATTTAACATAACAGTGTAAATTACTATTAATGTTGCTGACACTGTATTTAATTGTTAAATTAGTAGTATTTTTTGTCTTTTCCTTTTATGTAGGAACACGATTCTTTTCCTCTTTCTCTCTTTCTCTTTGCTGCTGTTTATTAGCAATAAACAGGAGAAAATTAAAGAGGAGAATATAAGGAACATAAATCAATGAAGTTTCTTTTTTATCAAAATTAAATGCTGTTTATTAAAATCTCAATCTG